CTAGATCTCGCAGACTCGATTTTATTTTAAAAAATGTATCGAGACACAGTATAAATAGTACTATTAAATACGATAAAATTAAACAAAACTGTCCAATTTAGGAGTAGTATAAGAAAAATGTATTCTAAGTAAACGCGATTAGTTAGTTATCCTATTTTTTTATAAAACTGATTTGATAATTATTGGAATATTATGATAGTAAAGCGTTTAAAAAAAAGACATTTTATAAATGAAACAAACATATCCCATCAACGAAACTTAAATACAGAGAAATTATTCATGAGTTGAAAAGAATTACGCAATTGTTTTATTGTGAGTCTAATATGGACTCTGGGTAGTAAATCACTTAAGGAAAAAACAATAAACGCTATGATAACCTACCTTCTAATCAAGGTTTAATTCAAGATTCTTGTTTAAAGGAGAAAATAAAAAGAGACAATTCTTTAACAACAGACATGAAGGCGATTTTAGTAATAAGAAAACCCAACTTTAAATATAACTTTTTTTAATCTTTCTGTATCTGGAATTCGTAAATGGCCGACAACGCAATTGCGAGCCTTCTGGCAGTGTGAGTTTTCATGAGTGCAGATGTTACCTTACATTGGGTGAGCCTCCTGCCCATTTATATAAAACAAATATGACAACGCCTGGAACAGCTATATATTTAACTAGCTGACCCGGCAAACGTTGATTTTCCAATAATATTATTTCTAGGAAACGTTTTTTAAGTTTAATAAAAATAACTATTTATTATATATATATTAAGAATTAGGGGTTGTATGTATTTATTTATTATGGAGAAGTATAGTAACGAACATTATGACACGAGAATTTTATATACTAAAGATTAGTAGTAGATATTTAATTTAATACAGTCCCTCAATTGTTTTTATCAAGAAGTATGTTAATTATATCTAAGAATATATAGACTAGATACTTCAACCTGTTACGTCTAACATTGAGACGTATCGTTACAAATTAGTGTCAAGGCTAAGCAAAAGAAAGTGTTTGATTATTAAGAAGTGCACTTTTTTTTCAAGCATTTTGCATGGTCAGAAATGCTTGCCAGTTTATTAATTACTATAAGTTTAATAAGCAATGTTGGCCTAGTGGCTTTAGGTCCCTGATTCCGGAAGTCGTAGGTTCGATTCCTGGCACCAATGTACTTTCTATGTGCGAATTAATCATTCGCTCGAACGGTGAAGGAAAACACCGTGAGGAAACCGGCTTGCCTTAGAACCTAAAAGTCGACGGCGTGTGCGAGGCACAGCTGGATCACCTACTTGCCAGTAGATTGAAAAATGATTATGGAACAGATACATAAATCTGAAGCCCAGACCTAAAAAGTTTGATAGTTTATTTGTTCATTACAAGGACAAATCGTCAGTACTGATTTAATCCGGGCTTGGTTATCGGGCGAGCGAAAGTGAGGTCTGCAAGCGATGTGAATATATGTAATATGCAATAGAAGGTTATGCGGTGACGAGGATATGAAAGGGTTTGACTGAGGTGTTTCAGTCACACATCGTCACTGTAGAATGATGACCTCGTATGTCAAAAAACCTTTTATTTTTTATTCTTAGACTCTTATGTCATTTAACTGGAATAATCATGAAGTAATGACTTATAATAATATTTTATCGAACATTGACGAAATGAAAATTTTTTTTCGTTTCCTGTAATGTTTGGTTCTCTGGACATACGAGGTTGTCATTCTACAGCGATGACATAGATGTAGGCATCCAAGTAGACCATACATTGCTAATGTGGATGATGAGTGCTGGGATAGTAGACCTCTTGCGTTCCAGTATCAAATCCAGCAAGTTAAATTATAATATATATGTCGCAGCCAACTAGCTTAATTATCCGTTCAATCAACAGTCTAGCCTCTTATTAAAGAGCGCCGTTTAACTAGCGGCCTGAAAAATATTTTGCTAGTTGATCAAACAGCTAGGTGACTTGGATCGATGACGTTTCATTACTTTAACAGTCTGTTGACTGTTAATTTAAATTTAGTTCCACTTTCTGTCATCTAGACTTAGCTAGCCTCGAAACTCTTATAAACTGTCAATATGGCGTCGGCAAACCACAACTTTTATTGGTGTTTTCCAAAGTTGAATGAAAAAAAACAATGGAAGAGTGTATTGACAATAATTATAGTGTGAATTTAGCTGTGGCTGACTCGAGGAATTTAATTTTTGAAGAAATATATTTTAGTCAGATGTTTCATCTTTTTTATATTTCTGTCACATGGTCACTCTATCGTACGAATGGCTTAAGCATTAGCCAGCCAGTTTATTAAATGTTGTAACATTCGGCTGAATATCTTTCAGGCCGCTAGTCAAACGGCGCTGTTTTGTTAAAGGCGTAGCCTGTTAATTGAACGGCTAATTACGCTAATTGGCTGCGACATATATATTAGGATCGTTGCAAGTCTGTAGTCTCTGCTCACTTTAGAAATTAGACTTGTGTATAACAAAACATTAAAACTTTATAACAGTATAATAATAAATCAGTGGCGCTAGTACCTTTTTTGGTCTGGGCCTCAGATTTATATTGCATGATCATTTGTCAATCTAAAAGGCTAGTAGGTAAACCTTCACCGTTCGAGCGAATGTTTAATGCGATACATACATTTACATTGAAAGAATGTTCATTGGTGCACTGCCGTGGATCGAACCTACGACCTCAGGGATGATATTCATTAAGTCAACACTGTTCAACTTTTTTAACAGTATAGATAAAGATTTAGGATACTTTATCACTGTTCGTTACGCTGATTGCGTAACGAACAGCCATTTTCCTAATGGTTTTTCGTGTTTTGTCACGATAACGTCAAACTCCATAAATAGCATTAGCCTAGTCTGTCAACAGGCTAAAAAGGCTTTGTGACGTCAGGGAAGCCAAGAATATTATCTACCGTTTTTATGATTTCTAATTTTTTGATAACGTCTATCGGTAATTACTCATGTGATAAAAGTGACCGCTGTAATCAGTGAAGTCACGTCATTGAAAATTTTAAGGATTTTGAATTTTCTTAGTTCAAATAAAACAATCGACAACTATGTGAAGTTATGACCGGTGGTGACGGACTTCAAATTCGAACGAATTGTTTTAAATCAAATTATCATAACAACATTTTCCGATATGCTGCAAAAGGAGAAGCGGAAAAGTGTTCTTCAAATCAAAACTTTAAAATATGCGTGTGTTATTATATATAGTTGTTGTTACCTATAGTTTATTTAATGAATACACTCAAGAGATATAATTAAAGTTTAGTCATGGGCCCATGAGTGAAACACTATTTAATTTGTTTCCTTTCTGTTCAAATTATTTGTATTTTGAACTTTTTTGTCTATAAGAAGATACAATATTTCATGATAATACAAAAGTTTGTTGTATCTTGCAGATATATTATGAAACGAAATCTATGAATTCCTAGAAAAGCTTCCATATTTTTGGAATAGTCGCTTCGTATTTCTGGGCTCTATTCCAATGTAATGTTAACCAGGTCTAGGACACTTCGAATTCTGTCAATCTGTGTTCACCTGTATATTATTTCTGTCAGACTTTGACATACAACAGACATACAAATAATTTAACAATTAAATTAATTAATTTAACTAGTAATTCCTCATTTTTGTATTAATTGTAATATAATGCACTTTAAAGGAGCGTAAATAGTGTTTAGTTTTTATAAATAAAGGTCATTTCGATGTTTTTCTCCGTTGCTCAGAGGTTAACGCTCATATTGAATAATAACGTGGTCGTGGAATAGGATCAAGTATCAACAAGTTTCTTATATTAATTGTTCCGTAAATGGTAGACCAATTTGTACCTACCTTAATAAAACTATTTTTTTAATAATTAATTCTGATTCCAAATGGGCAAATCCATTTATATTTTTTTGTTCTTACCTTAAAAAACCTAATGAATTGATTTAGCAAATAAAATCGCTAATAATTGTTAATTTACTTCTACATATAAAAAAATATGATCATATCATTTAAAATACGTCATTAATTTTTAATTTTTAATTTTATGGCTTCTAATTCGATGCACTCTTATATTATCGATACTAAAATCACGTGTGCCCCAAATAATGTTACTCTAGTTGACCTCTTGTTTAGGCCAACAGGCATTTGACTAAATAACTGGTTTGCAATAAATACATGACCTATCAAATTATTAATCCCTGAATTAATATTCACTGATACGAGTTTAATTAAGATTAAATTTAATCCAATTATTACGTATTATGAACGTGTCTTTGATCGATCTGAGGCATAAGTAGATATATTCAAATTCTGTATTTTTTAGATATTTATAAGTTTCATTACGGTAATACATCTTAAATTACGGTCCGAAGACCTTATACGATAAGATTTCTACGCCTACGAAATAGCTTTATAAACTATCCACTAGCGGCCCAGGTTTTTTTTTCATGCAATTAAAATAGCCTATATTATTCAGTGATAATGAAGCATTCAAATAGTGAAAGAATTTTAAAAATCGGTCCAATACGTTTTGAGCCAATTCGTTCCAAACATACTTACATACAAATCTCTCCTCTTTATAATATTAGTATAGATTTTTATAAAACACTATTACTATAATTCATTAGATTGCTTACTTGTAGACTCATTTTAATGAACACCAATTATAAGTGACAGACCGTATGACGTAGTGTAGATTCTATAAAAATTTATCGGATTACAATACAGTAATTGACTCAATACCAACTGTATTGAGTATGGGTGTATTGTGAATAAATTCTATATAACATCTTACATCATTTATCAAGCCATAAATAGGTTTCAATACTTTTTTAAATTTTATCAATTGAACTTAAACTATCGGCTGCTTAACTAAAAACCCACATTAACTTATCTATCATATCGATGACACAGCTGATAGCAAAAGTACTCAGTTTACCTTCACACGGCAATTTCTACAAACGTGATGTTAAATTAAAAAACAGTTGTTCAATGTGAATCAAAATGTCGCACACACACACGGCCCACTGTAAAGTTGACCATTATTATAAACTGGAAAAGAAATATATGGACATGAAGAGGCTAGTCATGGAAAGAACTGAGGAGCTAAGAAGGAGAGACAAGATAATAGCAATGTTGGAAAATGAGATCGACGATCGAGACGTAACAATTCGATATTTGAAAAACGAAATCGATAAATTTCGACAAGTGGTCAAACCACTGACGAGACAAATGATAGACATACAAAGGAATGGAGTAGAAGTTGAGGAAGAGTGTTTAGTAATTCGATCGCCCGGTATTGAAAACACGAGGATATTACCATTAGGTGAACCAAGGTTAAAAAGGACAGCCATATCCGCTGAACCACTGTCGGCCTTTACTCAAGATTGCGAAATGAAATTAGTTAAAATAACGAAGAGTCCAAAGTAAGTATCAATTTTAGCAAATTGCCTCCATATTTCATTCAAAGCGATTGCACGATGGCGATAAATCTTTAATAATAAATACGTGCTGTGTAACATTTGTATCGTTATCCATCAATCGTGAATTTCTTTCTCAGCTATGGTTCTGTCGTATCGAGGTCGACTTGTGTTAGCTGGAGTGCCTTCGTCGCCCATTTGGTATAATTACGTTCGAACTTTATTGCATGTCCTCGCCTTTGGCTGACACGATTCATGACTTATACGAATGTGTCGTTGATTTGATGACTAACAAATGTCGCTACGGAATTTTTTGGACATTACGTATTATGAAGGGTAAACCAGACAGTGCAGTTCTAGGTCGTTTTAATAATTTGCTTTTTAATAAATATAACGAATTCTAAAAAGTGTTGTTAACTTCTAATACAACCTTACTCATAGTCGGCTACTAAAATACGTGTGTTTAACATATTTTATACATAAATAATAGTGCAAACCGAAAAATCGACGTACATATATACGAGATAGAGAATACGACGTATTAAGAAAACAGAGGACAGATTATTATGTATAACAATTTTGTGTCTCCAATTGATATAATTGAGCAATTTATGTTTTACGCTTTTAATTTGCGACGGTGAACGCAAATTACATAGGTTATTACTTCGTAAACAAAATAATAACATTTAAATATAGTACACTTATAATAATAGTAATGTTTAGTAATTAAAAGACACTGAACACTCAGGGCTGTGCAATTTATTCCTTTAATTTGTTGTTATTGAAAGGTTATTGTCATTAATCTCTATTAACGAGAGCAACCTTGATTTTAACTATCATACTTTACATGTAAATGTATATACATTATACACTTTCCTATAATGAATTAATTGCAGATACATTGAAAAGCAACTGTGCGTCTTCTGATATAATTTTTCTCTATTTATCGATTCATTAAAAAAATTACCTAGTGATTACTTAGGTGTTTTATTACTATATGTAGAATTTGTATACAAAAGTCTATAAAATGTAACGTGCAAGTACCATACTTAAATTGTCGTTATTTTTTCAGATCTCGGGAGTTAATAAAGAGCGCGATCTTGGACAACGATTTCATGAAAAATTTGGAAATGACACAGATAAGAGAAATTGTAGATTGCATGTATCCAGTAGAGTACGCTGCTGGTAGTGTAATTATCAAGGAGGGAGATGTTGGCAGCATTGTCTACGTTATGGAAGGTATGTATTGTGGATAGCGCCATCTATTGACAAGTAGTGAAACTGAGCATAATGTTTCTTTTCTATTATTATATCATTATCGCGACATCTAGCAGGCAGTATTATAAAACTATTATTTATTATTTCGTCAACAGATGGCAGTTTGTACAAACTTAATACTTTTAGTTCATTAATTGCTCAATAGATGGTGACATTAATTTATTTTGTGTTATGTATTTTCATAATAGTGGTTTGCCATATATGCAGAGAAATCTAATAACAACATTCAGTTACACGATTTCTATGACCATACAAAAACGTGGTAGATTTATTCCAACAAAAATCTATTTATATGTATGTTATAAAAATTCACATATCTTTATTAATTTATAATAAATTATTATTTATTACATTACATCAGAAGTATGTTATGCTATAGGTTTTTTTTCAAAATTCACGTTCTCATAAATAGATTTCTGTAACGTTTTTATATTAAAAAAATATATATATGTACTATAATACGATTAGGTTAAGTTCTGCACACATGTAATTTTTCCATAATTCAACCATCTTACATAATATTAAAGTTGCTGTTTAGTACAAGTAAGTAAAAATAAAGAAAGCTTAAGAATTGCTTGCGCGTCACACTTAAATTTTCAAGTATTTCTCTATATAACTAATAACATACAAGCCGAACGTCTCCGTCTTGTGACTTGTCTACATCGAATTAGAAAGTACTGTTATTATAATATTTTTGAATTACGAAATATTTCCTTACCTACATATAATTTATAAAGCAAGCTTTTGTAAACATATTTTAAACGCTGCATCCTTGATAAACAGAACACCCAAACAATAGAGCTACAAAATTATTATATTTACTTATTTTTACTTAAATTTTACTTAAAAGATTGTTTAAAATCATTTTGCCTTAAAGTTTACGATATGGCATTAGTTATTTAAAGGCCAAAGCTTATATCCCTTTTGTTCTGACTGACCATGAATGTTGTCGGTTACAAATGCAGTAGTCAAAGACAATATGTTTACTTTAATTGTCTTTGATTAGTGTATACCTCCTTCTTTATAATACAGTAATTTTGGTCGGAAATAAGTTTATTTTTATTCTTAATTAATACAATAACTTCTTATATATTATTTATAAGTAAAACAAAGTATTACTAAAATCTACTATGTCTAATACAACCTTAATAGAAATTAGACCACGTATTTTATAAGACCTTAAACGGGAACTAATAGAAATCACAATTTTTATTTATTTTGTATAGTTCCCGGCGGCTCCAGTAGCTCCAACTAAATTTTAAAAGTATATTAAATTGAATATGACCCCCTTATAATAAATTATTCTAATTTATGCCTTATAAACATAAGGAGTTTATTCTAATTAAATTAGGTTTGTTATCGTATAACGAAAACCTCTTGACCTGTCATTGACTTTTGGTCTAGATACGCGATTGTGTTTTGTTTTATTAAATAAATAGGTTTACGTAATTTTTAATGGATTTATACTTGCCAAATAATTCCGTCAAAACTGTTAAATGGAACGAATATAGTATATAAAAACAAGCTTCCGCCTAACATTTTACTTTAATTTTTACTCCAGTATATACCTAATATATACTATTAATAATTAAAACCTTGGATTTCTTTTCACTTGGAACTTTCCACAGAACATTAAACAAAACAGTGCTAAGACACTAACGTCTCGCTCACTATCAAATGTTATTTAAGGCAGTTTTTTAATATGATTTTATAAAGCTTGAGAAAATGTGACGACACTTAACACTTGTTAAAGTTTTGTATATTTTAAATACAACGATATTTTGGTATTTGATTAAATCAAAATTCAACTTGTTTTATTTATTTACACTTAACTAAAAATTATATAGGATGCAAACGGCGGCCTCATCCCTAAACAGCGATCGCTTCCAGGCGACTCTAGTACGGAAAAATACTAAAAAATAAACGTGAAGGGTAAAGTGAAAGAAGTGCATATCCAAATCTAATAAAAAAATTATAAAATTACCAACCTTTATCTAAAATAATACGAAAAATCAATAATCAAATAAACTTAAAACTAAAAAGCTCAGGGATTCATGAATTACGATGCAATACAAAAGAATTAGAAATACAATAATTATTACAAAAGTGACGATTGAGCAGGATAGTGGTTAATCTCAACTTCCCTTTAAATCTAAATCATTATAGTATCTTACAAAGAGTACTAAAACCGATTTTATATTCCTTAATAGTAAATTCTAGGAATGTTCCTAATAATTTCGTAGAAGTGATGAAATTTCACATTTCAAAGGTAATCTTCGGTTCAGTTACGCTCACTCAGTGAACAATCTCACCCACTCTGGCCTTAATACTCAGTTGAGTACTGACTTACTTACGAAATCTAAATCCGGCCCAGAAGACGACTCTGCGCAAGAGCCGATTTGGTATTATTATAGAAAATATGGGGCATTAGGTACCTTAGTTGGCCGATATCTTAAATTGAACAATTGAATTACACTAGTAACACAAAATAATCATTAAAAATAAGATTCGTTCTACTGGCGCAAGGTAGGTAGGTGAGGCAAGAGACCACCAATCTAGTAAAAAATAATACGTGATATAATAACCTCTCTACGTATTCTAATAAGGTTATATATCTGCTGGCTAAGGATTTATATTTTAATACTTAAGATACTTATTTCCCTCTTGAATTAGTCTAAATATTTATAAAACGTATTAAAATTGCGTAGTTTACCTCGCTTAGACGACGGGAAGCAATTTTGTTTTACATTATGTTGAGATTAAGAACAATCCATTCGCGGTCAGAATATATTTCCGAGAATTCAGAAATTATAAATAACACGTGTTGATTATGTAATCATGATTGTATAATTCATAATTGTTATGGAGCATGTCTAAGATACATTTAGAAAGCTAAAGCGAATTGTTCTATATTTGTTTTGTTTTGATCAGTTTGTATACAAATATTTGTTAATAGTGACGCACTTTTTAATACGGTGACAGCTATGTTTTTCGGGAAAACAAAATCTATAAAAGTATGAATTAGGTAAAATCATTTATTATCTGATTTTTATAAACATTGATACATGTTAAAGGACGAGCTTTGCTTCTTAAATACTACTTGACTCAGTCAAAAACACAGTGTTATTTTTGAACTTGTTAAATTTTGTCACACTTTGATTGCAAATGTACATAAACAGTATTAACGCAGCATTAACATAACTCTAGGATCTATTAATGTACCAATCGCAATCTAACCATTGACAAGCCGGCCCTCGTGCCTTCGTCCATACTCTTAACTTCCAATAGCTACAGATTTATTTTTGGATTAGAATCTTGTTGGCCTTAAAGGCATTGACAGCTCAGCTCGGGCTGTTTTGGCTATTACCCGCGACTAGCGCAAGGGCGTCTCCTGCGAGACTCGGACCTCGTCTTAGGCCGTCTCGGGGTAGTTAATCGCCTGAAGGGATGGACCTTCCCTGGTGTAGGCGGTTTTTTACCCTAATCCGATTTTGCATTGCCGCGCGAGCGTTTTGTATGCAAGTTCGATGTAGTTCTCGTAGCGCACCCTGGGATCGAACGAAATAAAAAAACTCATTATTAGGATCAGGATCGCTATTAGAAGTTATAGAGAAGGCTCTTATGTCGAAGTTGTATTAAATAATTATGGTCAATATTCGGAATCACTTTGTCAGGGCGTTTCTGGGCATGATGTCATACAACTAATTAAACTGCATATTGTGTCACTACATCGTCTGTGTCACGCGTATCTGTAAACATAATTTCTTTAACGGCTCTCTCGCTCGCCACTAAATACTGGCTCAAACCTTTATCATATTTGGACATTACATAGACATTTGTATCTGAGAGAATTTTTATTACAAATACTTATACTGTATTTAATTCAAAGTTATGAAGTAGGTCAGGCTTTAGTTTTTAAGTTTCGTCAAACAAGCATTGAATTTCGACAAAAAGCAAACAATACCAAACAGCTGTACCTAAACGGTACTTCTAACCCACAATAGGGTCTTCATTGTCGCATTACAATAAAGGGGATGCCCGCATTCCCTATGCCTTTGTCCAATCAAGTCTATAATTGAATTTATTGCATTTTACTTAGAATTTTTGTCAATATTAGTAGTGAGTGTCTAATATTTTTGAAGGACAAAATTATAAAAATTGTAGCTATAATCGTTTAATGTTTGCCTAAGTTTTGTGATTCTTTGACCAGCCTTATGTGTCTGACACGCGTGGCCGATTTTAGTTTTAAAATATGGTTTCTTTAAATTTTCCTTCACCGTACGAGCAAGTGTTAATTGAAACGTAGATAGATATCCACTTTTTAGGTCTGGGCCTCAGATTTCTGTATCTGTTTCATGATCATTTGTTATAGGCAAGTAGGTGATCAGCCTCCTGTGCCTGACACAATCCGTCGGTCTAAAGCAAGCCAGTTTCCTCACGATGTTTTCCTTCACAGTTCGAGCGACTGTAAATGCGCACATAGACAGAAAGTCCATTGGTACACAGTCGGGAATCGAACCTACGACCTCAGGGATGAGAGTCGCACGCTGAAGCCAACACTGCTCTCAATTCTTTTGGAACATACAAGTTTTTAAGGAGATGTGTTGGTGACATTGTTAATTAATTAATCAAGCAAAACATTACTCTTTTATACGCTCTTGTCATTGTAGGATTTATACTTGACTCATTGTGACCTAATATAGCAATACAAATATTACAAAATCCAATATATTTATAGCGAGTGACTAACGTGAATCATGGAAAAATATTCCAATGCAAATTTTTATGTCTATCCAATGTTTTGTCCTTTTCACTCGTGTTAAATAAATGAAAGTGACAAAGTAATCTTACCTAATTGATGCATATAGTAGGTTCATAAATAAGTATAAAACTGCAATGTTAATATTGTATTATATATGATTCCACCTGTATCACCTCGACGTCCGTCGTTCCACAACTGAGCGTTTTTATAGTAGTTTTTGCCGCGCACCATCACTATGTGGAACCATCTGCCCACTGAAGTATTTCCGAACCAATTCGACTTAGTGTCCTTCAACGCACTGGCGAGCCCACTGGCATTGAGAGTGTCCATGGGCGGTGGTGTTACTTAACATCAGGTGAGCCTCCTGCCCGTTTGCCCTCTGTTCTATAAAAACAAAATGTCACAAACTTTTAAAGCCCAAACGTAGGATATCTCTTTAATCTTGAGTTAACTTTATGGTCTACTATTTGTATGATAATGGCGCAATTTAACACAGTATCTATAGAAATATGAGTAAAAATATAAATATTGTTGGTATATTGTTCAAATCCTACTCCTCCCGATTACTCAGAGAAAAATATTAAATTATTTACGATTACATTAACTTTGCGTAATCCCGAACGGGAGATACTTATCACGGTGAAAGTACAGCCTTGACCGAGGTCTAATTTGCGTCACAAATGACCACAATTCGATTACCATCTACCTTTACTCGTACTTTCGAATCATCTCCTGATGTAACAGTGAGTTATGATAATTATATAACCATTTTCTCTTAGTTATCTTGTAGTTTTTCTATTCCGGATATGTCCGTTTTTATAATGCTAACACGCCCTGATTTCGAAATATACTTTATTATTGAAATGACGACCGTATGTATTAAACAGCTGCCAGTCCGAAAACCAGGTAAAGAATATCTTAAACCTAAGGGTTTGGGTTAAGGGCGGGGTCTCGCCAAAACTGGAGAGCCTTCCAAATTGCTTTTTTGGTCAACTTCTGTCAATGAATAAATAACCATTGAAGAGTATTATTTAATTTAATTTATATATTTCTTAATTGATGTACATATAATATTTATTTAGTAATATTATATAAAGTGATTGTTTTATTAGTCTTAGATTTGCAAACATCAAGATAACATTGACATTATTCAAACAGGTTATCAACAGCATCAAACGACCTTGAAATAACAAAAACAATGTAAATTTCCAGGTATGAAAACGTTCGTACGTTTAAGTACCAAAAAGGTAAACTTTTTTATGACATGCATTTTATTATACAATATACAGGAAGTGTTAAACACCAGATCTATGTTATGTAGGTAATTTTTTTCAATATATTTAGAAGGTTTTATTTAGAATCTATAATGTTATAGTATTGACCTAGTGGCTTAAGCGTGCAACTTTCAACCTTTAGGTCGCGTTCGATTCACGGCTGTGTACACAGTAATGGTAGCATTGTACACATACACGTGGCAGGCACAGAAGGCTGAACTTGACCAACAAAACAGATGTGATATGTCTGCTTTCAGTCCCACAAATGTTTCCCTAATACATTATAAACAGTACAAAACAAAGCCACAATCTGAAATACATTTATGCATTTATTTATTTATGGTAGAAAGTTTCAGTAACCTGCCATATTGTGTTATTGTTCCGCTGGAGAATCCAACCCAGGCTCCAAGGCAGTGCTTCCGAACCATTTTTGTGCCATGACCCCCCTAGCCTTTTTAAAATCCTTATGGCCCCCTATGTAACACATGTAATTTTTAATATAAAAAAAATCACTCAAAAAACTTAAATGATAGGTTTTAATTTTTTTTCAATAAATATTTGAATATCCCCCCTTACCTTAAACAGTCTAATTACCGTCGCCCGTCTTCTTTTGTCAAATTGCATTAATGCGGTGATGAAAAGAGACAGATGAATTAAGTAAAACGTTGGAGGACGTATTTTTGATTAGTAAGGGCAAGTCCAGTACATTATCTTTAAAAATATCATTTCTACGATATCAGTGTGGACGTGTTGAATTCGTAAAAAAACAGAACAATTATCAATCTTTACGTGCAATATCGAGTTCAAAATTTACTCTTATTGTGTTGATTCTGAGAAATCAAAGTTACAAATGGCTTAATTTAGAATTAATTGTTTCGTCGTGTGAATTCATCGTTTTATAATGAAAGTATGTACTGTAAAAGCCGTGAACTTTCACGAATAATTAAATACTACTTTTCTCTCCTTCATATTATATCCTTTTCACCAATAGACGCTACAATACCCGCTCCTACACGCTTCCCTTTTTCGGTGGTACTTTCTTTATTATAGTTTTTTAAAGGCAAATTTATAAAAAACCTTCCGGGATTTACGCACTTCCTTAAATTATAGGTCTAAGACATGTCAATATACTACTAATTATAGCTTGCTATAACCTTGAATATATTAATATATGCATATATAATGTTGAGCAGTGTTGGCATAGTGGCTTCAGCGTGCGACTCTCATACCTGAGGTCGTAGGTTCGACCCCGGCTGTGCACCAATGGACTTTCTTTCTATGTGCGCATTTAACATTTGCTCGAACGGTGAAGAAAAACATTGTGAGAAAACCGACATGTCTTAGACCCAAAAAGTCGACGGCGCGTGTCAGGCACTGGAGGCTGATCACCTACTTGCCTATTATATTTAAAAAAGATCATGAAACAGATTCAGAAATCTGAGGCCAAGACCTAAAGAGGTTGTAGCGCCACTGATTTATTTTATTTTATAACCTTAAGCCAGGGGGGCTTTTTAGAGGTGCGTTTTAGAGGTTCAAATGGACGATCTCAGGTTTTATACTCGTATGATTAACGACTAGGCTAATTAGGTTTAGGTAACTTAAAGAACGGCAACGCACTTGCGAGCCTTCTGGCAATGTGAGTGTCCCTGGGCGGGGCGGTATCACTTAACATCAGATGAGCCTACTGCCCGTTTGCTATATAAAATATCCTTTGCTACCTGTTGGTATTTTTTATATAAAGTTATTAATAATAATCATTTATTTGCAAGAATATCTCTAGTTTATAGACAAAGTTCAGAACTTATAATGTACAAAAATACACATCGATTTGGTTCTTTTTTATGTCGGTTAAAAATGGCAATAATGGAAGTGACGTAATTATTAAATATTGTCACTAAAGCATTTTTTAAATATTAATGAGCATAATTACTTAGTGTACTTGTTAATGTATTCTTAGAAATTTTATTTAACAATTTTGGTTATTATAAATGCAAATAGCAACTTTAATTTTTTAATTATCTCCACACTATGACGAAACAATGCAGAATTAAAATATATTTTCAATTACTGCTATTATTATTATTTATTTTCTCTACAAGTTAATTATAATAAGAAGGTCCTACTTACTTTTTTCTTTAGTATGTTACGATATATATCCTGAATAAAAACTATATCTTCTATTTCATGGTTAAAAAAAATAATGTCTGTTTTTTTTCTAGAACTTGTTATTGAAATACTTTTGTATACAAAAACAACAACATTACATTATTAATACGTATATTTTACAAAAATATTAATTTTACTAACAGCTGAACAAATAACTCGTAAATCTGATGTAATAATCGAATAAAAGTCGTACTAAATTTAAATACAAATTTAATATCCTGATAGGCTGTCATTGGAAGCCTGAAGGCATAAGGTACAAATTGTGCAAGGCTTTGTTCCTAATAACAACTATCTCGCTCGCTCTAGTGTAGAAAATACAAGGTAGAACGTGCGCAGGAGTTGATCAAAAATCCGTGCGCTGCAGTTCGCGCGGCGACGCAGTCGTGAAGGGTCGTTTGTTTATCGAAGTGCGTTCCGAATTTAAAATATCGCGGCCAAATTTAATCTGTGGTGAAGCATGAGTGAATTACAAGTAATGGTTTTTCTGTGTTTATTATGTGAATTATGTTTGTGGTGATACGAAAATTTCAAAATATCACACCAATGATATCAAAGGATATTGTGACAATTGTAAAAGTAACTGGATCCTTACGGCTGCTTTATGCTACAATTTAAAAGTGTTGAATTAACAATATGGATTGTCATTAAGTCTTTTCAAATTTTAACAATTTAAAAAAATATAATCAATTATAAATAATGTTTTATGAAAGTAAATGGTTAAGCTTTCAAACAATGAAGGTTTCAAGTTAAACAACTTAGTAATTTACCTTTGCGTGCGCTACTCGTCAGTCGTGAAAGTGTCTTGAAGCGCTGTATTTAGATATTTAGCATACTAATGTTACAGATTCATGCTTTCTACTTCTTTTATCTTAAAATAATATGATCTCGCTCTTAGGATACCTACATGACTGTTTCCAACACGTCAGTTAGATAATTAAGAAATCTTATACTTTATCGAGTTTATCATTAGCTTTTTATTGATATGGTATGTATTCTAATGTTAATGTAAGGTCTAAATACTCTTAAGAGAAATCGTTGATTGATTTTTCATACAACATTGATTTCTTGACTAATATGTCATGTTCATTAAGATTAGAAAGTGGGTAAGCCAGTGGCATATCAGATTGGAAATGAAGCGTTAGATCGTGCATTATGAATTTAAACAATCGCCCATTATGATAAAAATCAAACGAATAATAACAATAATGTGACTGTCACGAATTCGTAGAAAGTTTTAGTTCAACGCGGTTATTAACAATGTAACGAATTAAGTCATAAGACTAATTGAGGTCGAAAATATGCATTTTGCGGTAGGTGATAGTAAATATATACGTCAGAGATAAATTATAACATCAAAATCTCATTATTTAAAATAAATAAGACTATTTACCAGAATATGTTGATGTCTTCTAAATATTTCTTCAGAGATAGGGTTTTCTTGATAAGCCTATACAATGACCTCACAGAATAACGGATACCTAGTTCCTTTAATAATACGCTCATATGAATTCAGTCTGCGCACCTATTGTATAGTGTTCCTGTTTCATATTCCCTTTATAAACCAATGACCGATCTAAATGCATTAAAGAGTTCTAAGTAATGAGTCATCTTCGTTGAAACGAAATAGTTCAATCACTGAACAATTTGATAGGTATTAGACAAAATATAGCCTTTGTAAAAACACTGTAGTGTTAACCCTCGATAGAGCACAAAATTGTTTTGTTAAGACTCGTTTTTGTTGAAGTCAGGATTCCGGATAGACGCCAGGTGCAAATCCATCAAAGAACTCGTTTAAAATTTTGAATCCCGTGAATGTTAGCTATTATTTTTTTTAATTCACCTTTTCATTTCAATGCACTTGAGTATGAGTTGCTTTTATTACGAGAATATTGCGCGATTAGTGAGAATTTTTTCAGAACCGTGGTTGGTTTTGTTGTAATATTTTATAGAAACCATTGTTACAATATTATGATTGAGAAAGAATAGTGTGTGGACAATTTATTTACGCATAAAAGTTATAAAACTTTACAATTAGGGTCTATAATTATTACTGGTCTCAGTTCTAATATACTAAGTTAAACTTGAAATTATCTTCACATTGATTTCTCTGATTTCTTAGGATTCTCATGTATCAGCTGGTCAGTCGAGTGCATATGTGGACCAATGAACTGGTTTAAACTTCATCAGATACTGAGACGTTTTCTACTCGTCGATCATGCGTATAATTAACAGTATGCTAAAGAATATCACCACGATAATGATTAACGTGAAATTGTTGAACGTTAGTGCGAAATCAATTTCGTTTGAACTAGAGCAGTAAAAAGGCAAGCTGGATGACTTTGTAACCAAAGTTGATTTCACAAAATTAAAATTTGATTTGTACCGAGTACCGATAAGTGCATTTTTTACCTATAAAGGTAGATTAAACTATATTTGATTACTTATTAATTACGTTAAATGTTAAGTGTAGCGAACTTTAATATTGCTTTGTAGTGGACAATAATTTATTATTGTTATTATGATAGGGCTAATCAGTCATGAGCAATATGTAAATAATAAGTTTATTGTCAGTGAAAGTGATGTAGGTAATGATAATAAATATTGAAAACTTGCTGCTGTGCGGTAACGGGGCGGACGCATAGTCGCTGAGCCCCATTATCTAATTATTACGTAATAAGATACAGTTTGAATTCATTTGATGATTTCTCGAGGCTCGTTTCCGATGAAGTAATGACCAATACAGTTACATCCTGAGAAGTAATATATTTTTGTTGGTTTTTAGTAACTATGTTTTTTAAATTTCAACTTTTCTGTATTAGATTTATATTTTATTGTAATTAAATATCTGCTTTATATTATGACTAGTAGGTGATATTTTGAAACGGAAACCTTTATAAACCATTGCGGTATTTAACCTATTAGTTAGGTAGCCTGCATGTTCTTAACTTGTAATTACCGTGTCCATATTATCAGAAACTAAGTTAAATTTAAATACGAATAAATTGTAGCATAAAGCGTTATTTATAACATGTCCTTTGCAGATTAACTAAATATAAATAAAACATAATAATAATTTCCTACTAAATTTTAAAAAAGAACAATGAAGTGTCAATCATCAATACAACTTAACTTTCAAGCAAATGCGCCTACGTTAACTTTATTGATGAAAGTGGAAAAAGCGAGGACATTATGAAAATCAAACACTATCCAGGAAAAGCGGTCATGGAGGACCCCTGGCTTTCCTTAAACGACAGAACAATGGATCTTGTATATGCTGCAAACTGGGTCGGCGCAGAGAACCTTAACGAGTATAATAGCACCAGTAGTAGCCAATCTAATGGTTCCAAATTTAACTCTATATCAAGAAGCAAATCATGCCGAGATGTGGGACGCACCGTTGATAGAGATCAAAATGATAGTTCATACGATTCGGAGCACAATGGTTATAATTATCCCCCCAATTTGCCTAGCAGTAACAATATATCTCAATTAGCTAAATACCAACAAGACATTGAAGAAAAATCTAGAGCAACAAATAACCTTCTGATTCAAAATAAATTAAAACATAGCTATAGTTTTAAAGACATGCCAAACGGTTACAAACCGTCAACCCTAAGGAGAGTTAAAAGAAGAAATTTTACAGAATGGGATATAGATGCTTTTGGAAATAATGAGCGACAACCACCTGTTCCGCCACAGCGAAAAGAGTCGCTAAAATATGCTCACCGGCAGAGGAAAGTGGATTCAAAAAAGCCTTGCTATCCTCTTCCGGACCCAGGTCCTGTACCACCTGACCCATCTTCAGAATCCTATTACGAATATTATTCACGTGTAAGCCAACAGAACAATGAGACAGATAGCGATAAAATAAAACTAATTCATAAAGATCCAAAAATAGAACCACCAAATTATAATGGTTCTATTTCTAATAACTCGATTAGGGGATTTGGTAATGATATGTACCAAATTATTAATTCTATGGCCACGTTGGATTTAGCACCGATTAAGTTCAGATCCGGTAAACATAAACACGATAAGGATAGTGATGCGGAAGGTTTTGATTTATATAAGCATAATAATGGATCTGCATGCGAACAAATTCCTCAACACATAAAGCAACCAAACAATCAACTGAACGGTTGCGTAGACGATGCACGACCTAATTTTCGGTCTAAATCGTTGAGAATCAAGAGTGAGAGTAGAGCTCCTTTAAAGGCGTATCTTGATACAATGGAATATAACGACAATGCATACAATAACAACGTTACCGTCACTCAACCGAAAAGGAACCTCTCTCCAAGCGAGCAGTTAACGTTAATGCAGTATGAAACGTGTAAAGGAAGTCAAAATCCGCCTCTACCGCCCATCAGTAACGGTTATAACTCGGTTAAATGGGGGAAAGAAAGTGACTATCGGACTTCAAACGGTGCCATTAGGCAAAAATCTGATAAATACGGCAAATTATATAACACAGTGCGAGTAAAAAGTGAAGATAGATATGATAGGTATAATGACATTTTATCTCTGGGACAGCTCAGAGAAGGTATAAGTGAGGAACGTGTAAGTGATAAAGCTAAGAATGGCGCGTATCTGCGTAGTGCAAAAAGTTCGTCTAGTGGTTCCGACTCAGACTTTTCGATACCACGACCTAAACTAATAGTACCTGTGCATACTTATGGAACTCGAAAGAGAAGAACGGGAAATCTTTGTCAGCGAGAGAGTAACGCGACGGAGTCTTCATTAGACGCTGGTATAGTACTCAATGTCTCGCGTCTCGAAGAACAGTCCAAGGAAAATCACCAAAATGGAGATACAGGTAAATAATAAAACACGACACAAACTGAGATAAAGATAGCTGTAAGTGATTACCCTTGACTGATTTTGATTGATCTATTTCACAAGACCTCCAAGGTCTTGTGGTTTTATTTGACTCGTTGATGTACTCTGGTATTACTAAAGTTGACATTAACAACTGAACATGATCTGGGTTTCGTGCGCTTCATAGTATCTTGCAATAGCATAAAATTACGAAATGTATTTCTCAGTCTGATAAAATTGAGAGATTGGTTAATGCAGCGCATTGAGCATATCAATTATTCCTTGTTGCGTGTCCTACTTTTGTGTAAAATCATGCATGAATAATTTGTATTAGTAATTATTGAACTTGATTATTAGACTATAACAATATTTATGTATTAACTGTTTCGTTGCAAAATTGGTAAAGGTTATTTATTAGTTTACCCTATAACAACTTGTCGACGTGTACGCAATGTTTTTTCAATGTTCCATAAAACTCACATGATTTCGTAAAATAATAACAATTAACTTAGACTCTTACGTCAGACGTGATGTAAAAACTTAATTATTTTGAACTTTTACCCTGCTCTGTAATATTAACCATTACTAATGCTTTGTACATAACACACCGAAACATAATTCAAATATTATGGCCTTGTTGTAATGGTTAAAATTCTACTCAAGTAATTGAAATATTTCATAATTCATCATTTTGTAAACACCATTGTGAAATATTTGTACAAGAGTTTTATTATTCGTATCTGAATATATACAATAAACTATACGCTTATAGTGGCTATAAGCGTATAGTTTATTCGTGGCTTAAATTGCCAAACAGTGCGTAAAATCCAACTTTGGTAGATTACTGATGAAATAGAAATCTCATATTTTTAAAATTATTAAAATGTATACCAATAAAACCGATACAAACACGTATCTCCATAGAGTTACTTGAGTTCAAATCAACCAACAACTATAATAAACCTACCTAAAGTGACTAAACGATTCCGCGGTACACACATATACATTATACTCGTACATTACTACATAATTGACCTCTTTATCTGTGATTCTTATTGTTCAATTATTACGCAGTTCTTTATTTTAAATTTATACTGGCGTAAAGAAAAATATACTTACAATTTTAAACAATATCAAGCCAATGTAATATCTGCCTATAAAGATGGTTAACAATATTCCCACGCTTATGACTATAATATTATGTTGTAGATTATTAATAATTATTAATTTATCAGATCAGATACATTGTGAGTTAGCTATGAGTTTTTGATGATAACGTAGATTATTTGTGTATCTGTAGCTATTTAAAAAATATGTAAACTTAATTAACAATACTTTAAAATGTTCACTCTAAACCTGCGTTTATTTTTTAATTTAACGTTTTAAATAGTAAAGGTACACATAGTAACTATTAATAATAATCATAAGCAAGAGTAAAATTATTATCATAAATTTCGAAGTTCTTCTAAATGAAGGACTTTGAAAATTTAAAAGTCGTACATCGATAGTCGACTTTATAACGATTACTTTTGTTTTCATGTCATGTTAAAATGTCAATATTTATTTATAGTAGTCTCTAAAATACACTGATGTTCTTGTATCTGTAGAACACTTCGTAATCCTTTGCAAATAATAAATTCAAAAGAAGAATAATTAATATTAATAGCTATAATTATCGTATTAATCGTTTTTATTTGCAAAGAATATCGATGTTAATACGTTTGTAATCAATTATACACAAACCAGTTTGGCATTTATAAGGACATTTCGAAACAGGCAATTTTGCAATCGTTGTCTGCATATGAGTCATAGAAACCTTGAACATTTAAAGGTACCGGTATGTTTTGAAAGTGTCATATTTTACCTAATCAACTGATTATTGTACAACCCGTTTTGGCACTGATTGATAAATCAGTTTCTCGACCGTAACCATTTTTCAATTCGACTTAGGGTCCTTCAAGAAAAGAGCGTACCAATTCTTAAAAGGCCGGCAACGCACTCGCGAGCCCTCTGGCATTGAGAGTGTCCATGGGCGGCGGTATCACTTAACATCAGGTGAGCCTCCTGCCCGTTTGCCCCCTGTTCTATAAAAAATATTTAAATTTTTTTTAAGATGAAACAATGCATAATATGCTCCAATAGCACTCATTTGTTAGTGTAGTTATTGTCACACCAACAAGCAGCGATAAACTAATAGTCTAGTCGACAAGTTGAAAATGGAACAAAATAGAGATACTGCTCTTAAAATTATGTGCGATAGCTCATTGGATCCGGAATGACGTCTAGAAAAATGTGCTAAAAGCGTGTATTAGCACATAAAAAATTGCAAAAGTTATAGACAATAACAACAATACAAAAAAGTATTTATTTCACAGTTTATTGATAATAATCTACGGCTGTATTTAAAGATATTATTTACAACTTTTAAATTCAAATAGGAAAATTAATTACATATAAACGAAAAACATTATGTACTAACCAAGACAATCTACTAATAGTTTATTTGTTGAGATCTGTGTGGGAATGTGTTATGTGTCGAGGCTCACGTGCTCTTTATTATATAGTTGTACAATACGTGTTAGTACGAGTATATTATTTTGATCGTAGTTAGGGCCAAAATATGAAACAGTTCAGTATGACGAGTTAGTAGTTCAATTTCAAAACGTCGACAAGCCTCATGATAATTGTCAAAATTATTATAAATTTTAAAACAAAGGTAGGTACTTAATGTATGGTATAATGAGTCGACGAGATAGTTGACGCATAATCAAGGATTTTTCTGACGTAAGTTGAGAACAAATTCTTTGTACAGTTTTGTTTTAATATTGGGCCTCACACATCTCTCACTTTTACTTACAGTCCTTCATCACCTCTAATGGTAGATAATTCGTTATATAGTTAAAATTTAACTACTAGTTTTGGTCTCAAACTAAACGATTTGTCGTTAACCTATATATTTCTGTAACAAAATTCATTAATGTTAGTTTCGCAATCTAAACTAGTAAAATTTGCATGATATTAAGTTCTGACACAGAGAGTTCTGGCGCCAACAAAATACATTTTTCATTAAATAATCTGTTCTAGATAAATTATCATATATTAGATATTATCTTGATATTTACAATGCTATTATAGTAAATTATTGAGGATCAAAGTAAGGTCAGTTGCCCAATGAGATGTGGGTAATAAAAAATCATTATTATAATTGCTTTTAATAAGCATTGTGGATTATCGCATAACATGCAATGATTGTTAGGATTTTCACCAATTTATTGGTTAGATTAGGATTTCTATAACAAATATTTTAACTGGATATCCTCGTGCTTATAATATAAAGATATTAATTATGTATGAGAGCGTGTCCCACGGCAGCCTGCATCATTTTAATATTTGGCGTTGTAACATATTTTTTATTGGTAACTTTCCATCGTCAAACAAAGCGTTTATGTCGTGGTAGGCAAATTTTTATCGATGTGCAATTACTAATTGTTCCATCTATAAATTAATATCGTGTAATATTCGTTTATAAGTAATATGTGATGAGTCTATTGAATTACTTAGATATGTTTATATATACAGAAAGCCCCTATTTCCTTTGGTCAGGCCATAACGTGTGAACACATGTTAATTTCGTTTATTCAAAAACTCTATCACTTTTTAACTGAACTTATATGTGTATTTTAATTAAAACAGTAAATTGATTTAGTTACTTCAAGGTTTGTCTATTATAACCTAGAATAAAATATATTCTGAATGCGTTCGACATTTCGAATTTACGATATAGAAGAAAGGAGATCTTACCAGTCAGCTTCTTCCTAAACGAAAACCTTTTCCTACATAGGACCTTAAACGAAAATACTTTACGTAAAAAAATTGTATAAGAATTACGATTTCAATTGGCATTAGTGTATCACGTTGCAAAGTATGTAGTGTGTAACAGGTGGGGTACACCACTGTCAAACTACTCGCCATTCAAAACATCCGGTTTCGCGGATTTTAATTCGATAACATCTGGTAGGTACGATGAACTTGAAATTTAACAGTTGTGCATTTTAGTCATTATAATATCTGTAATCTGATTAAATAATATATATGTCGCAGACAACTAGCCTAATTAAATTAAATCAACAGCGTCTTTACTAAACAGCGGCCTGAATAATATTCAGCCGTTGGATTTGTTACAACATTTAATCACTCTCAGTATTATATTTCTAACTTATAATACAATGAGTAATGGCTGGTGCTTTCCTCGCTCAATGAATAAGTATTGCAATACAGCGAGGAAATGCTGCCAGCGTTAAAGGTACACTGCCACAGGGACCAAACTTTTTAAATGTGTTTTAATTTTATATTCATTAGTTTTTAATCATTATTATTACCATGTAGATAATTATTGTATACTACAATGAAACATATGTATTAGGTTTAATACAATATAGACGTTTTTGTTAATGATATAGATTATAGAGGAAACCCTTTTACATCTTTGACCCTTTATATTATATTTGTCACCACACAAATTAAACAAATATCCTAAACATACTTCAAGTTTTTACGAAAGTTTTCATGGTTCATATTCGCGACCAAAGTCGGCTCGTATCTGAACAAGTATAATTATTTTTATAGAGACCGTAAACTTTTTATAGATATGCCAGATTGCTAATTTTACTAATGAAATATTAATAGACAATAGAATGATAATAATAGAACTATTAACCTCTAGTAGCCTCAGCGTGCTAATCATCCCTGAGGTCGTAGGTTCTATACCCGGCTGTGTACTAATGGACTTTATGTCTATGTTTAACACTCGTACGTGCGATTAACTTAAACATGGTGAGAAAACTGGTACGTCTTAAATACAAAAATGGATGACATGTGTCAGATAGACGGCTGATCACCTATTTGTATAAGAAATAAAAATTATCAAAAAACGGATGCAATGTGAAGATAAGACTAATATAGGGTTGTAGCGCCAATAGATTATTATTTATTAGACAGATATTCTATAACTTATATTATAAAAATATATCGATTATGTTTATAATAAACCTTTATTTTGTTATTCCAGAGGGCAGAGTGGAGGTTTCGAGGGAGAACAAGTACCTTAGTACAATGGCGCCTGGAAAGGTATTTGGTGAACTGGCCATACTCTACAACTGCAAAAGAACGGCCACCATAAAAGCAGCTACGGATTGTAGGCTTTGGGCAATCGAACGTCAATGTTTCCAAACTATTATGATGAGGACTGGACTCATCCGTCAAGCCGAATACACGGACTTCCTTAAAAGGTATGTTAATATTAAACTTAAATATGCGCCTTTGCAAACGTTAATTTCACCTATTACGCACGATGTATATAAAAAAAAGGGTGCGTGTACTTATGTACGCGCGTAAGAAGATATACTTATTTGGCATTATAAAAATAGTTTTTGATTGCATGCAAATAATTGATTACAATTAAATAATCAAAGACTGGAAAAGGAGTCATTATAGTCAATAAAGTTCAGTTTACATTTGAAAAATTAAATAAATAAATATTTATTATTATTCTCTTACGTTGTGTAACATAAATTCTATTATTATTCGAATGTTGTTTTTAAATTATGTCCAATGCCGTAGCATCTTCCGTGGGCAACTTCATTCTGTTAATTTTGTGTAACGATGCGCGCGCATCTTAAAATTTCACTCTCATCAATTTTTCATAACGCGCCTAAAGAAGTAAAACTTCAAAAATAAAATTAAAAACTTTAAAAACTTAAAATATTTTATCAAACTCAATTAATATTGTCTTTTATAAGGCTTTTTCAAATAACTAACTTTTAAATATTAATAGGAACGAAATCACAAGAAAAAACTTATAATTTAACTAGATAACTTCAACAAAAACGATAAATTATTAAGTATACTTGCTTTTTCGTCTTCGTCCGATATATAATCATATCCGAATTATTTTAATATTATAAAGCTAAATTTCTTTAAACACAATAATAACGCAGTTCTGATGCGAATTAATAAGTTATTTTTGTTTTAAAAAGTCGAAGAACTTAACGTAACGTCACGTCACGGCCGAATTATGTGTAAACCCGAGACACGTATGGGGTCACTCAAAATGCCTTAGAAAACCGATACCAAAATGCACACTGCTACATTGGTAAAGGAATCACAATATACATTTTTTAATGTGACAAGCACTTGTAGGCAAACATAACATAGACGAAGAGATAATACAAATATTAATATTTTTTAGGGATGCATCCGATACCGATGCCGATACCGATATATCGGCGATACTTTGGGTTTGCCGATATATCGGCATCGGAGTATCGGAGTCAACTATCTTTGCCAGCGAATAGTTATTAGATATTATGGCTTGCGGGAGATCATTGAGACTTTATTGAACGTAGATTTGAAGATCATTTAGTTGGCTTTTATCTGCTATCGCGACTAGTATTTTTTCGATACTAAATTTAATAAAATACAGAATTACTACAATGTTATCATTGTTAATTTTAATTATTAACAGTTATTTATTTTATTTTAATTTAATTATTACTCTTAATTTTTAATTTTAGTAACAAAACATTTAAAATAATTCAAAGTTTGTGACTATTTTTTGAATAAAAATTATAAACTTTAACTTAACTTGATATATTTTACCTCAATTTAATTTTAATTCAATAAGCGTTGGTATCGGTATCGGTATCGACGATATTCCTATAAGTGTATCGGCATCGGTATCGTATCGGCAAAAAAGCGTATCGATGCATCCCTAATAATTTTCGTATAAGATAATTTCTTTAAGTGGATATAGGTTGTTATTATACGCATTTCTACTAACACTTTGTAAAGTCAAAGTTGTCTACTACAAAATTTCTTTCACATAAGTTATTTAATTTGTATTTCGCCAATTTAAATTATGTGTGACACATAACCATTGTTTAGAGTTATAGCTACGAATGAAAGACACAATAAACACAAAAACATTATATACACATAGAGTTGTACAATAGTTTTTAATAAATAATTATAACTATCAGTTATATTTATGTTTCTGAAGTATTTTTAGAGCAGAGTTCCACAATTCTCTTTTTAATGAGAGCTTGTTTACATTCGGGAGGCCAGTCACCCCAAACATGCTACATACTTCCAATTGCTTTGTGGTAATTGAAAGCATGGTTAATCTATTTTGGTATTATACAAAATTACACAAGCCATTTACTTACTTTATATAAACAAAAAAACATATTTTTACTTAATTTATTGAACAACTGTATTAAATTTTTGGTACATATAATTTTGAACCAAATCATATTATAAACCAGGAGCAAGATTTTCATTATTTTCTATCACCATCAGCTCTTTTTTGGATCATTTCTGGACGTTGGCTCCATTTTCCTCCAGTACGCCCTGCACTGGCCTCTTTGCATCCACTGGAAGCCAACCTCCTTGACGATGTCGTCAGTGAACTAGTGACCACCAGTCGGTAGCCGGCGGTGCGATGTTTTGTTCTGACGAGATCTCAGGAGGAGAGGATTCAAGGAGCCTGCCTGTCTATCACCATACACTTTAAATATTTAACCATCTAAACGACAAAGCCAATAAACTTTAAAAACAATTTAATTACCTACGGTAATTAAACGAATTGATTACAAATTGTAAGTAACCTACAAAAAACAAAGCATATCGAGCATCGTCTTATCACGAATAGTTAAAAATTGCGTTAAAGGCCAATTAACACTAACGCAACTAATTATTATTCTGAACATTCTGTGGCTATTTAATCGTAGAAATCATTTATTCTAACATTCGGGACTTTGCCCGTAGCTAGTAAAAACTACCAATAATACAAAAACGAAATGAAATGGTGATTTAAATAGTTCCTTAATTGTGAGATTTTTTGTATGAACTCGTACGATGACGTTTCGTTGAGCTTTAGGAGGTAATGACCCCATTTATGCAAATGCATAACTATTCTTTGGCTTTCAACCTACAATGTATTTATGAATACCATTATCACCCTTATACAAAAACTTAAAAATAAAAGGCTCTAGTACACATTTAAATTTGCTAACAGTAGTTGCAATTTCAGTAGGTCAATTTTTCCTTAACTACTTATTAGAAAAAATGATGAGATATTTTTTACACTCCCAAATTAATTTTAACTAATGAAGCATTTACTGTCAGAAACGCAACAAAAATTTAAATAGTTTAAACATTTTAGAATGTGGTAACGAATATGTTATGGTAATCACTCTTTACATACCATTACTACTTATACATTTATTTTGAGACTTCCATAGTCCCACTTTTTTTTTCTTGTTACATTCTAGCAGCATTATGAATTGAAATATTTAGTTTAAATAAGAAATATTATAAATAATGCGTTGCGGGAATCTATTAACATTTCGTAAAATATTCGTAACAAACCTTTAAAGGCCGGCAACGCACTTGCTAGACTTCTGCCATGGCCATGGGCGGCATTATCACTTAACATCAGATGAGCCTTCTGCTCGTTTGCTCCCAATAAAAAAACATCAGTTAAGAAACACATAACAATCATCTCTCGAGGTTTTCGGTCTTTGACATTCGATATTAATATCCATTAATGTGAGTCAAAGCAAATAATCGTATAAGATTTATTATGCTTCGAGTTAAGAATCGATAATGGATATCTGTTCAATGAACTTAAGACCACGGTTTTTATGTAAAAGAAGCCATTTATATACCATGACCACCCAAGCAGGTGAAGCACTTCAGGTGTTATAAGATTTTGAAATCCTTTACAAAACTAAGTTGATTATAAAATAATTAATACATTTTTTACTAAAGACATTGGTGATGTACGGCTTCGTTGTGTTTACGATGGCGCATATAAAAAAACAATTATTTATTATTTGAAAAAGAAACCTTGTTAATAATTTTAATCTCATGAATAATAATAATATTTATAGTATTACAAAGTTAAAGACATGGTAGTAAATCTATTAACCAAAATGTTAAAAACCTAAATAGTATGTCAATATATGCTGTCCTACAATTTATCCGAGTATGATAATCGGAGTTTTTCACTAAGGATTAAGTTAAGGTTAACTGCTATCTATCTTTATTCATAACTTAACTACAGAGGGCACTGCGCCTGCGTGGATATTGTATTTGTTGATAAGCAATAATAATCGTTATATTTCATTTAATTTACATAAATACATATATAATTTTAAAACTTACCCTTTCTCGGAAATCGCACTATATAAAACTATACTAAAGTTCACTACAGAATTTATTGCGTTCATAGCGACATATATACGCATTCAATAATATAAAGGATATTTCAAAAGGTATAATTAAGTAACCAGTTTAATATTTTATCAGTAAACTAATTAATAAAATGTAAGGAAATTGAAAATCCGGTACTGACACAGTTTGACACGCAGTATCCGGTTATAGTCTGTCCTTCGAGTAGCCGCAATTTGTCCATAACCAATAGTCTTGCATCATTTGAATCGACGCACGTAATATTACAGTATTTAGAACGGAGATAAATCAGTTGATGAACGCGTGTAACATAGCGGGAATGTCATCATTCTTAAATAGGACAAAAGGATTTGATGACCGATTCAGATCGGCGTTAATAATATAGCTACTGTTGTTTCATTTATTTAAGGAAAAAACCTACCACTCTACCAACCTACACACTATATCATATAAGTCTTCAAAAGAATACTTCAAGCCTAACCAGTAGTTTCTGAGATTAGCGCGTTCTACCAGCAGTTTCGGAATAGATTTGACCTCTCCCCGTTCTAAATTCAAATGCACTATGACAGGTGTCAAAATAATGTACAGGCATATAAGGGATGTTTATGTAATGAAATTTGTCACATTATGAAATCGGATACTTAAAATGCACGTGAAGTTCTAGAAAGTGCACTTATTCCTGCGTATCAAGTTACCGAATCAGATCTTTGTGACACAATTACCTATAGTCCGCCCCGGTATAATGCAGATATTAGGTTTCTCTACTCTTTTAATGACAGTCATAATAAGTTAAGATAGAGTCAACACAGAATATACTCCATTCACTTAGAGGGGTTTAATTGTACATAATAAAATACAGCGTTATATTTGTGCTCGGGCGAAATATTGTTTGTATCGCAAGGAAATCATTATTTTGTCATATAAGTACATTATCTTCGGTCCTATCTTAATATATATAAATTACGTGTCACATTGTTTGTCCGCTATGGACTCCTAAACTACCGAACCGATATCAATCAAATTTGCACACCGTGTG